TTCTCCGTCGCCCCCCCCCCCCCATAATCCGCTTGCCCTCCCCCATAAGGGACCCTAACCCAAAAGAAACAAATTAAAATGGGACAAAGAGAAAAGAGAACCGTTGGCACGGCCAAACTACACAGAGGGTAACGAGAAAAAGCAGCAACAAAGTGAAGAGCTATGCCGCCAAGTGGCGTTGGATGCGGGCGAGCGTATCCAGCATCGCAGCTCGAGTGCGTTGCGCGGCCGAAAGGGCGACGTATTCGTCGACAATCGCGTTGATGTGGGCATCGCGGATCATCGTTTTCGGGCGGCGACGCAGGCGAAACGCATTGGCACGGTGAATGAACGCCCTGAATGGAAACGGTCTAATGAATGCGTTGTTTCAGCTTACCTCTCAATGCACTGCCGAGCCTGCTCTTCCTCTTCACGAAGACGAAGAAGAAACTGGCTAAGCCTCATTTTGCTGGGCAGGAATCGTTGGTTGAAGGCACGATTCCAACCCTCCTGGCTGTTGTTGGTACAGGCACTGTCTTCGAGCACGGCAGCGTGGACGTTCGGAAACAGCGGCTCGACGAGAATACCGACGAGGGCACGGTGCCGAGATGGCCGAGTGGTCTAAGGCGCACTTCATGCGTCTTCCACCGGTCGACCGACGGGGGTTCGAGTCCCACCCGAGGCACCGCTGTGGTTCACCCAGCCTGTCATCCGTCCGCGGTCGGCGAAATGGGTACACCCGGAATGGGTGGAATTGTTTGGTGTTGCAACGAGTGCCGCCTCTCACCTATGATGGGTGGTGAGCCAGGTACAACCCCCGCAAAAAGAAATGGTACTCACCATACTCCCTTCCCAAAGACCGGGAAGGGCAACACAAACAAACAAACGAGGGCACGGTTGACGACCTGCTGGATCACGCCGCGCCTTTGAAGCTTGTTTAGCTCTTTGCCGTTTAACCCGGCCGTCTGGTGGTCAACGACCTGGCCCGAAGGTACAAGGATGTTGGCCTTAGCTTTAGCGCTTGCAAAAAGCCGCAGGAAGCGGTGATAAAATACTTTTTATTTGATAAAATTTTTATTTTTCTGGGACCGAAAAGACCGGGATCGAAATGACGGGACCGAAACCACTTATCGAAAGTATAGCCGGGACTGAAAAGACCGGGTCCGAAACAACGGGACCGAAACGAAGGGTTACCCGCTCTGAATGCGAACATACCTTAACCGTAATTGCCGGTGGCCCGAGGCTACGTTTGAAGACAAAACACCGCAAACATGCCTTTACTGGCGAAGAAGAACAACGTTTACTTGCTCGAAGTTATATGCCGAAATAGCGATCGAACTCGCATAAGGCAAGATACCCTCCCGCAATGATGTTCACGAGAGGAGTGCGGATCGCAGCTTTTTTCCAGAAAAAAATAACGCTCAAGCGGCATTTCTGAGGTGTCGAGTCTGTAATTGACGCGCCACGCATATAAAGAGCGTAAACAGCTGTGTTGAGGTAATTTCCTCCGAACTTTTTTGTGCTTATTCGTCCTACGTAGCCGACTCAGAAAATGCTTAGATCATCAAGGTATACCCGGCAATGGCATTTGTTTGCACGTAGTGAAGCAGGACCACAACCTATAGTGCATAGAGGGGCGGGGGAGGGGGGAGGGGGCGGGGTAACGGGACTGTGGATTATTCAGGTGGCTCGCGATGAGACCGCAAGACGCTCAACCAATG